GTCCCCCTCCATTGCCTGCCACTTACCTCGCACCCAAAACCAGGACTCCTTCCATCCCTTGATGGAAGAAGGCAGTTCCACCACAAAGGGTACGTGAGCCCCCCAAGGTGTAAGGTAATACCACCCCCTGGACTCCTTCCCTATAACCCGAGGCTGGAAAAGGGTCATGAATACATGGAGAGGCATGTCCTCCCCAAGTAACACCTCCTTCCACAGGAAGTACGAGCCGACGAGCTGGCTCCACCCATTTGGCAGAACCTGGGTCGACGACAACATGAAATTCCTTAGCACCACCCTAAAGAAGGGGTGCAAAGGAAGACACATACCTACCTTAAATAGGTATTCACTGACTGCCACACAACCGGGCCTCGGATAGTAGGTCAGCTCGTTCGTCTCGGGAACTAACATTTCTATAGTACGGGGGACACTGTATCTCTCCCTAATCTCCCCCAACCTCTTCCACGTTATACTTGAAGGCACCCTAGATGCCCCCCACTCTTCGGTATAATCTACTGGCTCCTCAGTCATGGCGTACCTATCAGCCTCGGCATCCCCTCTTTGACTGACCCCCTAATCTAACGATGCTACAATCACCAACTCCCTACCTGAGGTGGACTCCATTTCACAATATTAACACAACAAAAAGGGCTTTTCTACGAATAATACCTAAGGGAAGAACTACGCAAACGGATATAGGTCGGAAAATTAAAGAACGGGCAGCATCGACGCCGGAAAGTTCAAGAATTTGAGAAAGAATCAGATTGCAAGTGTTCAAAAATCCTGAAAAATAGAATTTTCTCACCTTTTATAGAGGTCCAGGACGAACCCCAGCCGTCAGATCGAATCTCAGTCTATATGAGCCCTTCATTGTAGATCAAATCCGAGGCGTTGAATTCAAACAATTTTTCAAACCTACGCCTCAGATTCAAGCATGCCTCCCACGCACCCCATCCAACGCGTCTGCTTCTAGAAGCTCCAACTGCCATCATAATTGTGTTTTTAATTTGACGGCAGCAGGCACCTTAGAAGTCGTAACAGTTCAGCCACTTTTCCTCGAAAACAAGCACAAAACATCAAATCATTGGCACAGCTATCAAGGCACAATCATTACCATTGAACCTCGGCTTCTTCTTCAACATTCAACCACCAAGCCTCGCAAGTTCGATTTTCCAACCACCTCGGCTTCTTCTTCAACATTCAGCCAACAAGTATCGCAGGTTCGGTTTTCCAACCACCTCGACTTCTTCTTCAACATTCAGCCACCTAGCCTCACAGGTTCGGTTTCCCAACCACCTCGGCTTCAACTTCAACATTCAGCCAACAAGTCTCGCAGGTTCGGTTTTCCAACCACCTCGGTTTCTTCTTCAACATTCAGCCACCAAGCCTCCCAGGTTCGATTTCCTAACCACCTCGGCTTCAACTTCAACATTCAGCCAACAAGTCAGGTTCGACTTTACAACCAGCTTAGTTTCGTCTTCAACATCAACACAGCCTCGGTCTCTTCATCGTTCTCCCACGGCAACACATTTCTAATTCCAACTCTGATATAAATATCTACACTTGGACTATTATTTGGGGTTCAAAAATTCTTTCAATTTTTACTTCATTAAAGTCCACGTATTACATGAATGACCATATTTGGACTTGGGGAACTATTGTTGCGTGTTGTCATACTTGGCCAATCCACCTGGGCCAATGACCCACTCAGGCCGAACCACGTGGCACTCCAGCCGAGGTGGCATATATTACCGAGGTGGACAATGGCCGAAGCCGTTCAAGCCGAAGTCCACTAACCGAGGCGCCTTTTTATGGAGGCCTGTGAACATACCCGAGGTCCACATGCCGAGGCCCATGAACCAAAGCCATGATGCTGAAACTAGTTGAAGATAGCTGAAGCCCTCAAGCGAAAGTATTGTGTGAAATGACCGAAGCCCCAAAGCTGATGCAGGAGCTTCCGAACCACAAGGGAGTGTCCTCCATGTTCACTTCTCCAAAGAGATCGTTTGCATAAAGATTTTATTCGAATGATTGATGAAACATTTGTCATAAGCATAAAGATCAAGTCTTGTCACTAGTATGGGGCTCTACACAAGCAATAAATGCACCGCAAGCTGGCAAGTCAAACCTCATGCCTGATAAGATGTTTAAATCAAAAAGATGAGGCCACGTGCCACCTCATCCAAGGACTCTCATTTCACATGTACCACTATAAATACTTTCCTTGTGTAACATCAAAAAGTTAATGGAAGAATCAACACAAGGAACTACACTTTACTCAACTCTCTCTCTCATTTACTTGCAATACACAAATTGAGTTTATACACATTTACATATACAATTACGAACACCGGTTGATAATTATTATACAATCGGATCACGAACAACCCGCCGGATTCCGAACGTCACCGTCCCGCGTCGTTGGGCTACTCCCACGCCCTTTGAACCGCTCGTTTTGGACCGTCCACTTGTCTTAGCGTGTTGGACATTCGTCCACATGTGCGCGGATGGGACCGGCATCTGTTGGCAACACTTTTTGGGGTCAACAGATAGCAAAAGAAATTATGGTTGAAAAAAAAAAGTGGGTAGAGAGAGAGTAGGATTAAAGAAAACGACAATGAAGAAATAAGGAGAGAGAGGTGGAGAAAAGTAGTAGTCAGTGGGGATGTCATTGAGGGTACTCACTAGTTGGCGTAAGAGAACATACGTTTGTAAGTTGTTATCTTGGAGAAACAGACACGATTGTGTTTTTGGTGGGACCGTGGGAGTGAGGGTCGCTTCTACGCTTGTATATCTCCTATACATTCTTGAATCTTGTATGTATAAATCTCTACGTGTTCTATGCAGTCATACAGAGAGAAGAGGGCTCGATTAGATGATGGAAATACTATATGTGAATGATCTTATATGCACAAGTTGAAGGATTGTTTACTCAAATCATGATCAATTAGACCACGAATTGCTCATGTCACGGCACTAAAGCTGTTGAACGAATCAGCCAACTTACTCTACATTCAAATTATCTGTAAAACTTGAATGATTTGTGAATCGAGATACCACGCCCTCACTTGTCCCCTTTACATTAAATTTCATTTTTCTCTTTCATATTTTCAATCACACAATCTTTCATAAAATAATATTAATAAACGATCTTTCCACGTGTTCATATATAAATGTTGGGGGCATATTGGGAGAGTAGGTGTGGAATTGATCACAGTGTGCGGGGGTGGATGAGGGGTTGAATTTTAAATGGAATTGATTAAAAGGGTTTAGGAATAGGGAGAATGAAGTGGTATAGATTCATTCATGGAAATTAAGAAAAAGTTTATAAATGTATTTGTTTCAAGTTAATTGGATGGAGTTCCTTTTCAAGGAAAATACATCATTCCTTTAAGGTCAACAATTGTATAAACTCTAAATTTGCACCACAGGTTATCCCTAATAATTTAAGTTTCATTCAGCAGTATTTTTTATTACGCATAAATTCAAAAATTTTCCTTCATTTTTAATCACACATTCTTCAAAAAATTACTATTTCGAAATTAAATTCTCATTACATGAGAGAATAATGGGGAGCAAACGGGCACTAAAAGAGTTACAATTTTTGTTGAAGTGTTTGGCATATAATAATTAGTTACAGTCTTCATTAATGCTTACTTTATCAAGTAAGTTATCAATAAATTTTCATCAAAATTTAATGGTGAAAGTCAATTTTTAATTTTAATCATGCTATTATTTACTTATTTATCGTTCAATTCTATCAACTCATAATTTAAGAAACTTATAATGAAAATCAAACAGGCTAAATTAGAAGTTATGAAATTAATTTTTCGGTATAAGTATATTATTTTCAAAAAAATGGTTCCAACTGTAAAACGAATTGACTCGGAGAATAATAATCTCTGTCGAAAAGTTATTGTACGTGAATAGTTCTTCATGTACTTTGATATTCTTTTCCTTTACAATATATATCCAAAGCATTGACATAATAATTATAATAATAATATTACTGGATGATTTTTAGAGTGGGGCTTTTCTTTTTCTTTTTTATATTTAAAAAGGGTATTGATCTTGTTAAGCCAAATACAAATTAATAATCATTTTTTTTATTCAGGCCAACAATTATATGTAGCTTGTTTGATCCTTCTAGATTCACTAATAAATTCAATTTAGAGATTGTTTGGTATGGCTTAAAAGTCAATTAAAATCAATTTTTTGATCGTTATTTCATTATTTCAGTCGTTATTTTTAAATTTTTCTCTCACATGTAGGACGCACTTTATCTCTAACAATCAAAAAAATCAATTATCCAAATTCCTACCAAACAACCACTTACTACACAAGGCCGTATTTGATAATGGGTTTAATGCCCAAGGATGTATTTGACAGTGGGCGATTTCGAAAAATTGTAACAATTGCTGAATTGAAGATATGCCCCTAAGGCACTAATTTGGTCAATTATTTTAAAATAAGATCGTGATTCACTACAAATCTAAATTCTAACAAATTTTCTTCAAATAAAACTTTAGTTGACTCAAAGTCAAAGAAATACCTTAGACGTTAAGCTTCTTGGAAGATGGCAATAAAGATGACAAACACCAGCAGGGGCGGATCCAGCTAGTGGCGAGCTAGGGCAGCCGCCCTAGCTGGCTCCGCCAGAATCTTCAGACCGCGAGGCGCTGGTGGCTGAGTTGCAGGCGTTGCAGGATTTAGACGGAGGAGAGCCGGTAGGAGGAAATCTGGAGAAAAAAGAAATGGCTCCTGGGCTGGCCCCTTTTTTTTAAATTGTTGTCTTGTTGGGCTGATTTTCTTCACAAATGGGCCTCTTTTTGTTAAAAAATCATAGGCCCAATTCAATTGCCCATTGTCTTGGTCCATTATAATTTCAATTTCCCCCAAATCGTGAGTACGTGACTGTGATTGAGTCTATTTAGATGATGGCTTTCATGATTTTGGATAATTTAATTTACTTTTGAGTAGATATTTGGGATGGCAGAGAAAGGGATGGAATACAGTGTGGTTTTGTTCAACAAGTAGGTGAACCCTGCCTTTTGCCCTTGCATATAATTCTTATTAACATTAATGTTCCATCTTTCTGGTGAAAATATTTTATTTTTTTGGCGGTTTAATGTTAATGCAGAGCTTGAATCAACTTGGTATTTAGACACACTGGAATTATGTCTTTTCTGAGCTAAATTGAAAGTTATGTTAAGAATTTCTTCCCGGCTTATTTTAACAAGGATGTTGCTTGTTAATGGACCAATTAAAACTTTCTGACTTGTGAGCTTAACTTGATGAAAGATGAAAACTTAGAATGCTTGGCACTTGTTGACGACAACTATATCTTGGTTACATTATTGATGCCTGCAATTTTGTGCACCTTTTCCTGCAGAATTTATTTGATGATGGATTTATTTTAATCTAGGCTTACGCACACGTGTTTCAACAAGTGCATTGAGAACAAGTATGCGTTCTAAACCTCATTTACTGAAATTACTCATTTTAAGCATGAAATTGAAGTACTGACTTCTATAAATCTTGCAATTTGGAGCAGTTTAGAACACTTGCTCCATTTGAATAAAGGTTTTTGTATTCAATTTGGGTGCTTAAAGGGGTTTTACTCCATGCGTATTCAGGTACAAGGAATCTGAGTTAAACATGGGTGAAAACAGTTGCATTGACCGTTGTGTGTCAAAATATTGGCAGGTGAGGTGAATTGATGATTTTTCCACTTCTGTAATTTTTTCCACTGAACCCTTGTATGAATGCATGTGCTTCAATGGTTGCAAACATTAGCATTTGAATTTACTGCAATACATTTTTTAGCCAGTCATTTTAGTGGTAGTTGTTACTGGCTGCGTAGTAGGAGAATGAGAACAAAACTAATGATAATTTTGTGTTGCATCTATGGCTTACAGCAAATTAAGGTGGATTGGATATGATAAATTGATTGTCCTTAATGAAAGTTTCAACGGGTCCCTATTGTTTATGAGATGAACAACAAATAGAACCTGCTAGTTGGTATAACATGTGTTCCTGGTGATGCTAATTTTGATGGCACGTTATCTGAGGAATTCATAATGAAACAATAGATTTAATTACGATCGCTGATTGTCGATGGTTTTAGTGCATTTACATATAAAATCATATAAAATATAATTTTTACGTTTTAGTGCATTTACATGTATATTGAATAATTTTTAATTTTATTTAATCAAAATTTAATAAACGATCGGACACCGGCCAGACGGGGCTATTACGATCGTTGATTGTTCACGGTCAATGGTCAAGGTCAAAGTCAAAGTCAAAGTCCGCCCTAACTGAAAGTTCGGGCTGGATCCGCCCCTGAACATCAGCCATTAGTTTGAAAAGATACAACTTTGAAAATTAAAAGTTGAATGGGTAAATTAAAAGGGTCCCTCAACTCAATTACCACAAAGTTGTTGATGCTGTGGATGGAAGTTGACAGAGAGCTAACCCATCTTAGTTGAACCCTTGTCAGAATTGCATGTGATAGACTCAATAACAGAGAGGACGCGTGTCAAGATTTTTAATATTGTAAGATGAATAATGCTAAAGGTACGTCACCATATACCTAAGGGTGTCCATTGTGGACACCAAGCGCCTCATTATTGGCGACGCGCCTGTGGGCCCTTGAGCGTGGCAAGCGCCTCGCCAATGACGAGGCACCGGGTATCCATTATGTACACCCTTATACATGGTGATGTACCCCTAGCACCATTGTTGTAAGATTGTACTTTTTTGTATCAAGGGATTGTTTAACTTCAAATAGCAATATAATGAAAGTCTGGGGCGGACCCACATGGGGTCATGTTTGATCAAATGACCCCACAAAATTTTGCCCTTTTTTTTTGTACAATCTACTTTGATGCATTCGTCGGGATGCCAAATGAAATCAAAATATTACATCCTTAAAACCATTTCGAAGTACTCATGATCTAGTTTTTCACCCATTAATGACATGCGAAGTGGTCAACTATAGCAAAAGTTATGACATGTTAAAGTAGGGCGTTTGAAACTAGTATTTTGAGAATTTCGATAATATCCTAACTTTAAAAATTCGTTTGCGATCATATGCTATCTGAATCCACAAATCGTCTATGTCATGTAAAAGTTTGTTTCGAAAACTACATCTTTTTCATATCGAATGGTCCAAACGGATATCGAAAATAATTAAATATGTATCGAACGTACGCCTCAAAAAAGACGTCTAACTCGTTTTTTATTTTAAAAAATTCAATTAATTAATATTTTTGTACGATAAATTTTTCAATATAATTTATATCGTTTCATTTGGAAGTCTTACATGAAATATGACGTAAAATTTTTAGGGTCGTTACGGATTAAATACAATTTGAATTACTTTCGAATTATATTTGCTTTAAATTTGAATTTCATTTATTTCCTGAACTAAACTTGAATTTTATTTCAATTCATTTAATCTATATATTCAATTTAATTTATTCAATGTTAGCTCAGCATTTGCCAATGAAATGATAAACAAAACTATACAAGTAGTAAAATTTATTGAATAATATTAATAATGATGTAATTATACGACGTTTTCAAAGTGTCAAAATACATATAAACTTATTTTCATTGATATTATGTTGTTTATTAAAAAAATTATTTTTAAAATTTGACTCCCACAATACTAAAGGTCTGGGTCCGTCCAAGATGAAAGTAGATTATAAAGTACACATGATCATGATTAACATATAAATTATTACAAATTGGAAGGTTAAATTATTGAAATAAGATAAGGAAAATTCAAATTTTTTACAGACATAAACAGTATTTCCATCGACAAGGAGGGGAGAGAGAATTCATTATTGCCGAATTCAACACTCTGTCGCGTATAAAATTTTGAATTATTCTTAAACAAATAATTAAGATTAAGATATAAATAATTTTATTTATGTATTGGCTCTGACATTGCCAGGTTTAGGGGTCACTTGGAGCTTGTACTATATGTCGCCCATAAAACCCCTCGAGGTATAATTCAGTTGTACAAATGACAAGAGTGAGGTAGTCTCAATCTTGCTGGCAGTCACAATGTGATGATTTGATTCTTGAGATATGAAATTGGATTCTTTGTGGATACCAGTGTACGGGCAAGTTCTTATTCCCTGGCCTGCTGGAGCACATCCTGTAATTTACCTCCCTCACGATACTCCAGGGGAGGGACGGGGCGGTGGAGACCCTTAAGATTAGGGTTCAACCTTTTCCCATAAAGTATTAGTGTAAACTATTCACATGGAATAAAAATGTCGAAAATAAAGTAGATCTATGAACTCGTCCCTCTTAATGGTTTACTTTTCAGTTAAGATAAAATCAATCAAAAATGTTGAAACAAATATGTGCAAGCAAGCTAAGCAGTATAGAAATCCTTTACTTGTAGATGAATAACCTCTTTAAATCTTATGTTAATGTATGCATTGAGTGGTGGAGTCAGAAATTTCAAGATAAGGAACCAAAATCATTTTTGGAGGAAAACATACGTGCATTATGTATATATTATACTTTCAAAACTTCTACAAGAAATATAAAAATATAACGGAGCAATCACCAACTCTTGTTAGCTGTGTCACTGACTGCATTGCCAATAATCATAAAGGGTTTCAACGTTCAAAGATATAAGAGATTGTGTTTAATGATAAAAGATGTGTTTGGTAAGAAGGTTCTCCTAGATAAGTTTAGGTTCTTCAAGAGTGGACACTACGTATGTTAACGGCTAAAGTGTAGAGGTCAGACCGTTACAACTCAATTGGTACCAGAATTTAATTTAAGTCTCTCTTAAATTCTAAAGATACGATAAAAATCATTGAGGGATAAAATGCACTAGACTCTGGACAGTATGTAAGTTAATTATTTGGGTATAGAGGCCGAGTCGTTATGAACTAAGTAGTGGAAAATGTTACAAATGCCAGGGGTGGGGAAATTGTTAATTTTTGTGGGTTTAAAGATAGAAATGTTGCGGTGAGGCCAATGCAAAAAATCATATTAACCTAGATTGTTGAAATTTCTACTGAAATATCATTAAGAGTTTGCCTTTCTAATTGTTTTTAATCTTCGGACAGACTGAATATAATCAAACTGGAAATCATTAACTTATTCTTAGGTTGAGAGGAAAGATTTATGGAGCTTAAGTTGTTTACTTATAATGCAACAACAATTAATTAACGTTAATCTACTACTACGCCCTTCCTTGTACAAACTTCTGTTAAAATGCACTGACAAGTAGTTCAAAGCATCAATGTCTAGAAAATTGGTTACGAAGTGTTTAGATTATAAATATATAAATTAGGGGTGGATAAACTAACAGTATTGTGTATCCAAGTGATAAAAGTAGATCATAAACGACTTATAATTTTTTCTGGCACTTTGATCCTTGAAAACGTATAATTCTCAAGAAACATGGAATAAACTGAAAACTGGAAAACGACATCTTACTTTTGGATTTCTGTTTCTGCCAGAACCTAAAAGCGATCTAAGACTATTCCAGAAAATTCTGCATTAGAAAAATCTCCTGCATGTTTCAATGCAAGAAATCAAGCTAAAAGTGAGAAACTTCAGAAGAAAAAATAAAAAGGCTTACTTTTCTTGCAGATCAGAAAAAGCAGGATCTTAGTGCATTTGATTTGTCAAAGAAAAATTAGCCCCAGGAACCATTCATTCTTTAATGCAGAGCTCAAATTACAGGAAAAAAAAATAAAAAAGTGACTTCAAAATGATGGTCCAAGATAAGTAAGGGTAACTTAAAAAAGTTCTACATAGACAACTTCGTGGTGCCCATAGTAGTTGTTATTTTGGAGAAGAAAATCAGATTTTATTTTCTTGATTTTCTTTACAGTGACAACGGTATATAAACACAATGAATATTCCTCCTATTTTGGTACTCATATATCTTGTTAATTTAAAGATAATTTTGCCTCTTGATTGATCTATTGGCCCCATAATGTAGGAATTTACCTCCTTAATTTGCTCCTGTAATTTTCCTGTAGACAACTCATGCAAACACTCCGCCTCAAGTTGGTGCGTAGATGTCTATCATGCCCAACTTTCCATGTGAGTTGTGAAAACTCCTACTACATATAGCCTTTGTTAGTATATCTGCTAACTAGTCTTCGGACTTCACAAAGGAAGGCGAATTGTCTTAGCTTCCAGATTCTGCTTGATAAAATGCCAATCAACTTCTACATGTTTGGTCCGATCATGCTGGACTGGGTTATGTGTAATGTCAATCTCCGCCTTATTGTCATAAAATAGATTCATCTCGCACTTAGGAGCAAACCCAATCTCAGTTAAAAGTTTCTTAAGCCAAAGAAGCTCGCAAAGTCCTTTCGTCACTCCTCGAAATCCTGCTTCTGCACTTGATAACGCCACTACTTTTTGTTTCTTACTCCTCCAGGTAACTAGGTTCCAACCAACAAATGTGAAATAGCCTGAAGTAGATTTCCTATCTAATATGTTTCCTGACGAGTCTGCATCTATCTAGCATTCAACATTTAGATGATCATTTTTTGAAAATAGAAGTCCTCTTCCAGGGGACGACTTCAAGTATCGGAGAATTTGCAATACAGCATTCATATGATCTTCACTCGGGCAATGCATGTATTGGCTCACCACGCTTACTACATAGGCAATGTCAGGTCGAGTATGTGACAAATAAATCAGTTTACTAACC